AGATTAATATGTAGAAAATTAATTAAAAATTTAATTTTATTCTCAAACCTTAACAAAAATTAATTTATATAATAATCTTATCTTACTAAAAATTTTATTGTTTTTATAATGAATGCAATTAATACAATCAAATTTTCTTATATTTTATTTAATAATTTATAAATTTACTGATTCTTTATATTCTATTTATATATAATTAATTATTTTAATAATTTCGTTTGAAACTGATTTTATATTTTTTTGTTATGTTCTTTATATTTTAGTAACGATAATACTGATGGGTACGATACTGAAGGGCACATCTTCAAATCTTTTATTGATACATTGCAAATATTTTCATATATTGTAAACACCTTTATTTACAATTTTTCTACTTCTTCCAAGAAGAATTATAGCAATTCAAAAGTGCTTCTTTAATTGTTTGTCACTTTTTTTAAAGAATATTTAATTAATTATTACACATTTGTTATAGTCTTATTAAACAAAATTAACAATTTACAAAAAACTGGGAAATTTCATTAAATTCTTTTTATAGTAACGTTTAAGAGATGAAATATATTCAGCCATTCATTAGCTTACAAGTCAATTAACTCATAAGTTACTTAGCTTATTGACGTAGCTTATAAACCATTTAACTTACGATTCAGTTAGCTTACAGTTAACTTAGCTTTATTATTATGTTGATGCTAGTTGAGTCAGTGCACTTGAGCACTTTTACTCTCTATTAACTGCGAGGTTTCTTCATAACCCCTCTCTACACCTTGACTGGATTATTGTTTATCACTTCATCAGGCTCAAGCAATAATTTACCTCAGATCTGCATGCCTCCTCGAGGAGCCTGTAACCATTCTGAGATTCGATAACGAAGTGTTGGTAAGCTCTGACTTTAATATTTACTAATTTTCAAGCAAATCATTCGTACAAGAGTTCTTCTATACTTATAACAGTTGCTTTTAAACTTAGCATTAGCATCCATATCATTAGTACTAGGCTTTAGGTTCACAAATGTACTCAATTCGAAACATAACAATAAAAACAAATTTTTGTGAATGCCTTTGTAGGTAATACAATTGTTTTTATGTTCAAGCATACACTCGTAGTCCATTCTTAAGCTTTTTACATATCACACAAACAACAACGGCTTATAGTTGAACATAGTAGAATAATAAGTTGAAATTATTAACTACCAAAATGATTACCTTTTTAAATTGTTAACATGTTAACAACGCAATTGGGCAACAATAAAATACATTTCGAGTACATATATTTTATTATTAGTACTTTACAGTGTTATCATGTTATTCGATTAGCGAGTTTATAACTTGATACCGTGAATACCCTTTTTGTATATTCGAAGATTTAGTTTGCTAAAAAATTACTGAACACTATCCACTTTTCTGTTCATATTTTCATTTATTTTGTTTTATAGGAGTACAATCGCAAAGCCTAAATATGATTCATTTCCAGAAGAGCGGTACCATTATTAATTATAAATAAATATTAAACGTATTTCACTTGAGTGATTTTTATAATAAACCACGTTTTTCCACATTGTTGTAATGTACACAACTACATACATAATTATATATTTATATACTTATTTGTTATTTATTAATTATAGTTTGTTTGTATAACTTTAATTATTCGTAGCTCTTTGAATGGTATACTTTATTTATTTATACTGAAGACACCTAACATCTAATATTCACTTCCCGACCATCCTTACAAATCACTAATTAGTCGGTGCTTCATAAGCACTCTTACCTTAGACAAAATATTATTTATTAAGTTTTGGTAGCACATTTATTTATAACTCATTTCTGTTAAGTTAAACAAAAGAAACATAATTTTCTATAGATTCAAAATATTATATTATAAACTAAAAGCAATTTATTTAAAACTATTACTATTCCTTTATTAATTTTTTAGTCAAGTATTTACCACATTTGGCTTATAATTTTAAAAAATTGTAATTAATGCAAAAACACCATATAGAAGTGCGCACGGATAGGCTATCAACACCTGTTGATGGTCCATAGAGTATGCAGTCACAAACAGTTTCGAAGCTGACATTGCACACCAAATAATTGCGATTGCAGCAACAATCAAACCGATAGTACCTTGTATGGTAATCAAAACATTAATGCCAGACAAGACGACCATAGGCAGCAAACAATAACCCAAAACAGAGACTACAGCGCCAAAAGTAACTTGTGCGCGTACAGCCATCAGCGACAATAGGCAATAGAAGGCAATGCAGCCCATAACGCCGATACCGTAAATGTATGAAAAAGTTACTTTGCCACTTAATAGTAAACAGCCACCTAGTGCAAGACAAAACACCAATGGACCAGCCATATCTGCATCTTGTAAAATTTGTTGGTCTGCACCACGCATAGGATTGAGTACAGCTAGTGTTTTTAAAAATATATGCTGTGGATTTATGCCTAATTCTTCCAACAAAGGTGGCTCGTCATCGAAATCATTACCGTCTGTAGTCTTATTTTGCGAAATTGAAGAATCAACGTACTCATTTGGATTGTAGAATGAACCCATTGACTGGTTTGCAGATGCATAGTTATCATAATTTGGTGGCACAGATGTTTGCGTGTTATCAAAAGTCTGGAAGGAAAATTCTTGATCTGGCATTTGGAAATTGTATGCTGGTGGCGCTTGGTTGTAAAAATCGTTTGGGTTACCGGTTGGATTCATTTTTTGTTATTTATTCGAATTCTAGCTAAAAAAAAGAAAAAACACTTTTTATATTACACATTTATTTATATAACTGAGTTATTTACTAATAATATTAAATAATCCCTTGTTTAATTTTTGTTTATGCTGCTTTTAGTCGATAGTCGCAACTTCTTTTGACGTTTAAATATCAGCTGTGTTAGTTTAAGTACACGTCGCATACTGAAAAGAGAGCAATATATGACATTTTATTTTAAATGTACACGCAGCACAAAATATTTTGCATACATTTAGGATATTTGAATTTTCAACCATACAATGAGTTTTTAAGTTAAAATAAATTTTTATTATTATTTATTTTATTATTATTTAAACAAAACCTAATTAAATAATACATTTTAATATTTTTTTTTTGTAATAATTCAATGGTATTTATTATGCTCTATCAGTTGCAATGTATTAAATGTTTAAAACAAGTTTTGATTGCAAAAAAAATAATTGGTTGGCGTTTTGTTGAGTTGCAATAAACGATATGTATTGTTTATAAAATATTAATTTTTGTTAAGAAACAAAAAAGTTTTAAATATCCCAATTTTAAGTGAAATTTTCTTAATTTACATTTGATAAATAGTATTATAAACAGAATATTTTGTATATGCAACAAAGGATGAATTTATATTCTCATTTTATTGGTTTCTTTATTCATTTGATTTATTTTAAAAACTAAATCCATAAAGTTTAAACAATTTTCATAACTCTATATTTTGTTCGCATTTATTTTCATTAATTTTAATTAAATTGAGCTATAACATTACATTTCTTTACTAATTTCTAAACTTTTTTATATTTTTTTTGTTTTACTTTTTACAATAATTCTTTATTCAAAATAAGATTTAAAAAAATACAAAAAAAAAGTGCTTTGATTTTTATATGCATTAACTATTCTTGAAATTTGATTTTTATAAATTTAAAATTGATATAAATAAGTTAAATTATTTTTACATATATGAAATAAATTTTATTATAACGTATAAATATTTTTTAATTTTAATTTATTTTGTATATATAAAGCTGTACTAATAAGGAAATATTCATATATATAAAGTTGTACTAAATATTTAAACGCAGAATTTGTTATAGATTGCTACAAATAAAATTTACCACATACATATATCTGCATATAAATGTTTCGTGACGTGGCTCATTTTGTGGGCGGAGAGTTTTAAAATAATATACATATACAGTAAATTTTATTTGTAGCATTAAGTATGAATATATATGTAAAAAAATAATTGTATAAAACCCATGAACAGAAATAATTAACACAATACACAATAATAAATAAATTACATAGGACAATCATATCAAAATCATTTATTAAAATAGAATTTCATTCAAATCTATATTCTAAAAATTATGTTGCAGTATAGAGACTAATATATAATATATATATATAAAATATACCAAAGATTTTTGAGGAATTGTAATAATATAAATTTAATACAATTATTTATAATTAAACTTAATAAATATTAATAATTAATCTTTTGGTGAAATAGTAACCATTTACCCAATTTAACATTTATGATAAAAACAAATTATTAACAGAAATATCCCACTGAATAGGCTAATAAAATTATAACATATTTAAAAATTAATAATAATTATATATAATATTTTTAAATTAGAATTTAAAAAAGAAATAAAAGGTATCTACATGTATTAACAAAAAATGCAGAAGAATGTTGAAATAAAAATAATACTTAATATTTAAAAACTAAAATAGATGTACAATAAGCAATGATAATGAGAGTTTAATAAACATTAAAAAAAAAATAAAAATTAAATTTAATTTTAATTGCAATTTTAAAAAAATTTATTGTTTACAAATTATTTTTAAATATAATTTTTATTGTCAAGATATCTAATATATTAACAAAAATGTGAAATAATAATATTAAAATAAAAAAATTCTTATTATGAAAATAATAAGCAATGATAATGAGAGTTTAATAAATATTAAAGAAAAAATAAAAATTAAATTTAATTTTAATTGCAATTTTAAAAAAATTTATTATTTACAAATTCTTTTTAAACATAATTTTTATTGTCAAGATATCTAATATATTAACAAAAATGTAAAATAATAATATTAAAATAAAAAAGCTCTTAATATGAAAATAATAAAATTTTAATACAAACAATATAAAAAAATTTTATTTCATATATATTACAAAAAAAAAATTATTTTAAATAAAATTTATATATATTTCGTTATCAATATTTTTTAAAACATAATAGTTTTAATAATTAAAAAATTAAAAAAAAATAATAATAAATACAAAATTATAATAAATATAAATAAAAACCTAAGGAAAGTTGATTAAAAAGAAATAATTTTAAAATATTACAGTTAATAAATTTGGTTTTAAATAAAAAATTTGTATATCAACAACTTTTTTTCTATGTTTATATATAAATTTTACTAATTTATATAATTAAAAAACTGAATACAATGTTATGTATTAATGAGAGTGTATTATGTTATAATGAGAAAATAACATAAAAGATTTTAATAATAATGCAGTTAATTTTAGTCTATATTTAATTATATTGAATTTAGTTATTATTATATAAATTTTATTTATTAAAAACATTCAAATATAAATCTAATTGTAGAAATACCAGGGTCTGTTTTTTTCAAAGAAAATTTTATAATAATCACGAGTCTATATATATTTAATTGATGTGATTTAAATATGGAAATATAATAAAGTAAATATAGAAAGTTCTAATATTTCTTTGGCACATTGCGTATATCAAAATTCTTATTGATTATTCTAAGTTATTACCTATATTAGTTTAAGTGAAATTGCACAACGTGTACATTATTTTAGTAATAATTAATATATATTTATATGTTACATTGCTTATGTAAGAAACATTTAATAAATATATTCACAATAATAAGATTTCTCGGTGTCTATGATATTACATATAAGTCTATACATATGTATAAAAAGCTTTGTTTGTGGAACAAAAATTATTTTGTAATTGTTAAATTTTAAAAATATTGTATATTAAGAATTTATATTAGATATGTAATTAAAACTACGCTTTCATATACATAATTACAAATAAAAAATGGGAGAGCCAATTTAGTTTAAATAAGTACTGAAATAAGCTGATTACATTAATCACACGATATTACTAGTATATCGAAATTTCAATTGAAACTGTAATATTTAATAAAACTTACTGCGTTAAAATTAAAGAGTTTGTTTTTAAATTTATTATAAGTTATAACAAATAAAAAACTAATTAAATTTATAAATTAGAATGATTAATAAAAGTAAGTCATTATCATTATCGTTATCTCCACTTTCAACGGTTCATCTGATAATTAAAAAAAAATATCTCGTTATAGCTAAACAAACTATGGTAGATGAAAACTCCTCTCAGATCTTAAGATCGACCTCGCCCAAAATAAACAACAAATGTACCAGCTACTTACGAATCTGCTTAACAACGACACGTCACTTGGTACTAAGAAAATATCCTATTAGAATGATTTATTATAATGAATTCAGTAGGGGTTGTGGATCAGCAGATCCCCTTTTCTTATATGCTTGACAAACCTGGTATCCTCCAAAACCAGAGACTTTTCAAGTTGATTCAGTTCTACGTAAATAGGGAGTCGTGCCTTTCAGCGTTGTTCATACGGTGACTACTATATGAATGACGCTAGTCCGTGTTATCAGAATTGTTTAAGTTCAGGTGGGCTTGGACACAAGGTTGCCATTCCAACCTAACCTAACCTATTGTCATTATCTTATGACATTATACATCTGAATAATTTTTTTCTTTCTGAATTAGAGTATCAAACTGGAACTAGACTGAATGCCATTGTTAAACTCCATTCTCCATCCATTAAATCAAGTTAAAACAATCAAGCTACCGCATTTCTGGACGATTCTTTTGTGTAATTTTGTAAGCCTTTTGGGATCGATTTTACATCATTCTCATAACGTGTACAGATCGACATAATGGTTATGATTTAGAAAAACTCTCAAACCTTTGTTATGTAATACAGATTGTGTACTTCGTCGTTATCAAATTGACAAAACTTTTCATCTCTTTTAAAATTCATATATCTTTGTAGTTTTTCATGACAAGTGAGCCAAGTTTTTGATTCTAGCAGGGATATACGCTTTCACTTTGTTTGCTTTCCATCTATTATATAACTAATAGTATTAAAGTTTAACCGCATAAATGCTTTTTATACGGTCTCAATAAATTATAATTCTTTATCTAAATACTATGTTATCAATATCTCACACATGTGAGAGATCAATATCTGAATATATTATGTCGACTTTAAGGAGCCTCTGCATAGGACTATCGATAAGAAAATTAAAAAAAGTGAATGTTCTTAGCCTGAAAGCGAAGGTACGAGATTAGGTAAATGGAATTATAAACCAAATTATTGTTTTGCTACAGGAGTTACATTACTTTTTCTGCAAATTCCTGAAAAAGTAGTTTTTGTTCATTCAGCGATTAGAAGAATTGTTAAAAAAAGGTATCCTTAAAGTAACCCTTATTAGATAAATGTTTTATACATTATTTATTTTACTGAGAGCTAAATCGCACGACGACGTATCTGTGACTACTATTAATTTATTGGTAATTTGGTTTTTAATTTGAATTATCTAATTGTAGGATTAGATGAATAATTATACTACTCTCATTATTGTCTGTTATAGATGAATTATGACAGCTTAGCTTATGACAATTTCATCGTAAGTGAAATTTAAAAAGTCAGTTAAAGTAAAACTGAATAATCGTTCAACAGTGTTCCAGAATATACCCACTACCCATCATATATTTTCAGGTTTTAAATAATTTGTATAAATATTTACAACTTATCAGTATAAGATTTCAATTCTGTTTAGTAAGTAGATATACTATTTTCACATGTAATTTCTAAAAGTTCTAGTTGGGATAATAGAGAGTCATAAAATAGAGTCATTAACAGGGATAACCTGACAGTAGACAGTGACCACGACAGTAGCATAATTCTGAGTTAGGAAAAATATTGCTGGAGTTGAGTCTGTCAGAAGATATGAGAGCGATCTATAAACTGAAATGTTAAACCTAAAAAATAAAGCGTCATCAATGGGTTAGGTCTTATGATGCTTTTTATGAACCAATAGATTTTGTCAATAAGGTTCT